CACTGATTTCAGTGCCCCAGCCCTATAGAGGCTCCTAATGTTCCAGGTACCAAATCTCATGTCCTTTTTCAATTGCCGTGGTCGTGCCAAAGAGTCCGTCCTGATCCGAGGCTTGGTTGATTTTTTCGTAACACCTATTTTTTTTTTAAAGGTGAAAGGTTGTTAGCCCTACCCCCAACCCCCAACCTGGAGGACCAGGGTATCACTCTTAGTCTAGCGCATCTCCTTAGACCTGTCCGGCTTGGGTGACCCTACCATGAGCCGAAGCTCAGGCCGGCATAGCCCTAAGGGTCATTTGAGCACGCAAGCCTCCTCACCCGGCAGATTGCCTTCGACAAGGTGGTGATACCTTCGAGAAGGCTACTTATGGACTTAATTCATTGCACTGTCTTTATTACATTCTTCATTACTTTGTACTGTTACAGGCAATGCTAGCTATGGTGAAGAAGTTAAAATGGCATTATCTGATCATGGTACATGGTAGTGATGTCTATAGCACCCATGTAGCACATTTGATAAAGCAACTTGCATCTGCCAATAATGAGATTTGTATATTATCCATGGTGCAATATATATACATGGAAGGACTGAATGATAATGTTGATGAGGACATCAGACACTCAAATCAGAATACTGTACAATCAGCATTATCAAGAAACAATTATGGAATTCCCATTCTTGTAATAATGCAACAGTCTTATATCCAGAACTTTCTGGAATATGTTACAGATTACATTAATCCAAACAACACAAGCTCTTTACAGCTATTTTTTTCAAACTTACTTACACATGAGGACATCAGTCATATGCCTAAACAAGTTATGAAAGTCTATTCACTTTCTATTCAAAATAACCAGTTAAATAATTTTGAGGAATACTGGCAAGACCGCATTAGGCATATGAAGGTAAATAAAAACATTTGCTTTTAGTTGGCAGTTGTTAATTTTATTTGTATAAAATGTTATTATTTCTGAAGTGTTAGACCCTATCTACACATTTCCTTCTAAAGCATTTCATAATGAATGTGTTAACAGGGACTTGTAGACATACCGTTAGTAACTACATCACCCTTTTGACTTATGTTCCTCTTACTCCATCATAAATATGTATTTTCCCTCATTATTTCTTACTAGAGATGCCTAATATTCTGCCTACTATATCAAATATATAATTTGCTACTTCTGGCTATAATAACAATTGCAAAGCTCATCAGTTATCTGGGCCAAATACAAAAGATTAACTCTTGGCTTATGTGTAGGCTGATAAAGCCTGTAATGTAGCAGGCAAATTAGGACAAGAGACAGAAGAGTTTAATTCAGTTTAAGCAACAGCACTGCACCCAAAGTTAGAGGACTGACCACACAGCCTAACTCCTCCCTCTAGTCATGTACATGCCAATAAGAAATTGGCACTGCTAAGACTGAGAATATATATAATAATTTTGTCATTCCCTAAATTTACCTTGAAGATGGTGAAGAAACTAGTCGTTGAAAAGTTGTCATTTGACACAGTATTTACAAGGCTGGCACCTGAGAAAATTTTGTAATGTGCCATGAAAGTATTAAGTATCATCACAGAATACCTATCATAAATAAATTAATAACTACAGTTCAATTTTAACCAAGTCATTTTAGCAAACTTTATGTATCATATTAATGTAACCCAACCAGACCTCACTGAGAACAAAGAAATCTAGATGTGTTTAATTGTATAGTGTTCTTGGCCAGCATTTTATATTACATTCATTGGGTCATACGTGAGAAGGAAATATTTATTCACTGCTCTCGTTTTGTCAAGTAACTGCCTTATTACAGTTTTTGAAACTTCAAAAACTTTTTTGAATGTACAAAATTTGAAAATTTTTACTTGTGATTTGATAATGGTAACATTAAAATAATCTCTTCAGAATCTAATAATTTTGTAAAAGATATAAGATTTAACATTTTATTTTTATTTTATTAAAATAATTGCTGTTTGTAATTAGGTGGAATTATGAAGCTTTCCATCTTCTGGGTTGTTGCACTGTGTAGTCTGGTCGATGTTAACCAACGTTTCAGAGGTCATACTGTGATGACGTTGCCCTGATAACAGAGGCAGTATGACCTCTGAAACGTTGGTTAACATCGACCAGACTACACAGCATAACAACCCAGAAGACGGAAAGCTTCATACTCACCGCTGTGAGAACCTCAAGTCTTACACAGGTGGAATTAATAGCTTTAAATATTATTTCAGCATACAAGAACATACCCATCTCAAGAGAATCAGTGGCTGTGGAGGTACTTACAAGGCCAACATTGTGCCCCTAGCCAATTTAATTCTTCAGTACCAGTTTTGAATCTGGGATGTATTCACAGTGCAGGAAAAACAAAACCAGAAGATGATTTATACATTGCATTGAGAGGAGAAGACATCTTAACAGCCAGTCAAGGAGTAGCTCTAATGGCTCAAGCTCTACAGTTAGCATGGGAAATTGTATGTTTTAGTGGCACTAGGCATCCTTGCCCAGACCTGTTGAAAATGTCACATCAGGACTTTCAACAGTCATATTTTGCAAAAGTATTAAAAAACCAAAGAAGCGGTCTTAAGTTACCCCAACCAAATATAGACTGGTTAAAAGAACCAGGCTTACTTCCAGATCTGTTGCTTGTGGAATATGTTAGAAGTCATCAGCACAGAAGTATTATTAATTTAATTAAGGTATGTAAAATGTATTATTGTATTCTTTATTTTATATTTTGCATGGCAGTCATTAAAATTTGCTTCAACTGACAGCAAACCAATTCTGTATTTAATGTCAAATGTAGTAACATATACAAAATACACATTCTAAAAGTAAGAAAAACCTTGTTTTTAAGGAACCTTTAAAATACTTCTCTAAATTAATTAGCCAAAAATTGGTATTAAATGCATATAAAAATTATCTGAACAGCATTTCATAGAATTCTGTTCAATTCAAACTAAAATTAGATTACCTTATCCTACAGTTTCTGTTTGCTGTCTTTGGGGGTTTTACATAGTCCATTACCCCAGAGTAATTACACAACAAGAGTCTGTAAACTCATGTTTGGATTGCCAAAAATCATATATATGTCAAACAGGGCACTATCTTAGCCTGAAGTTGGAGGACCATCACTTGTGAACTGTCACAGAGTCAAAAGTTGGTACGAGGACATCTATCATTCAGATAGGCTGAATATGACACAGCCATTCTGCACATGAGAATAAAGAAAAGAATTATAATCCTCTTGCCAGGACTCAGAACATGCTCTTGCATCCTATATTTGGTCAGTTATCACAGCTCATTTCTCTAACATGTTTTGACCTAAACTTCATTTTCATAATTTTCATTCTAGGTATTCTTGGTTTGGATCAATGCGATTAAGAATATTCCTCCTTTTCTGTTCTACTTAGTTATTCGAAAAAAAGTTTAAAAAATTATTCCCTCACTTAAATAAGTTAAAACACTCGAAGGGACCCTGAAACCTCCCTTGTTTTCTTAGTAATTAAAATCATAGTTGTTACTTTTTGAAGTAGTTATATATATTAATAAAGAGTCAATGTTAAAATCTTGGGTGTCCAAGCCGTTTGTAACTGAATTATATATCGACTGTTCCTGTTTTCTTGGCAGTGTTGCTGTTATCAAAGTATAATTTACAATTATTTTAAATAATTTAATCATTTAAATCAAACTTATTCTAAATTTCATACATGAAATTTTAAACCTGCAAGTTACTAACAATTAATTTGGTTAACAGTTGATGAACTTCAATGCACAAGATGAACTGAAGATCTTGGATGACAGTTTTGAACAACATTCTGTTGAAATGTGCACTGACTGCGGAGCATGTCTTCATGCAGTACATGATCGAGCAACTGTTGGACAACATCCAAGTTCTCCAAATTTTGAGGCACAGCTCTTGCAGCCAGCATCACATTCACTGAAGTACAACATACAGTACTTGACAGATGATTATCAGATCTTGTTTCCATCTTCACAGAACATTTATATTGCTGCTCTTTTTGCAGTTCATAAAGGAACTGATAGAGACTCCTCATTGCAATGTAAACAGGATGAAGTGGATTTAAAGGCCATAAGACAAATAGAAGCATTCCTTTGGGCATTACATAAAGTGAATGCACATCTCCATAGTGTAAATGGTTTACAACTTGGAGGTTTACTCATTGACACGTGCAATTCTAGAGTCCGTACAATGATGCTGGCTGCAGGTCTGGATGCCTTGAACAATAAAATAAAAAGAGGAGTTAAC